CTAAGAAATCCACAATAATTCATATCATTCTCCCAAAACAAAGAACCATTAACTCAAAGGTTAACTTACCTTTTCCAATCGTCACAAATAAAAAACAAAAAATTCCAGGAGCAAAAATGTTTCAGATGAGTGAACTGTCCGGTACAGAACTACTCAATGGCTAGGACGGATACAGTATGACACGTGCCTGTTGTTGCTCAAGGTGATGCAGTGGCTCCAACAGACGTGTTGTATAAAAGAGGAGTCGGGGAAGGGAAGGGGTTACTCAACACTTGAGAGGATGAAGAAAGAGTAGTAATTTTAACACTTGTCACTTGTGCTATATTAAGAGTTCCATAAAGCTTAGCACATACTATATATAAGAGGAGCCGCTGACGCACATGATGTAGAACATCTTTAGGCAGTAAAAGAGGTTTTAAGGATGTAAATACTTGCACACAGAAGCTTGACAATGACGATTTTCAATAAATTGAAGACAATTTGTGCATTAACATTGTTGAATTAGAGGTAGACTTAGCTCTTAAAAGGTCAAGGTGGTTAAACAATATGCCAAGTACGGCATTGTTCTCCCTCAATAGGTCATGTAACTTAAGTACTACGAGTTCCAGTAATGGACGTCTACAGATGAGATATGCCCTACATACTGTGTCTCAAAGCATGACACAACCCTTGCTGATCTCTTCAATCATAGAGGGCTCAAAGGAATTTAACAGGTTATCTTTGTCCTCAAGGCTAAAGTAAAGGAAACAATGCCATGTAAACAAGACAACTTGAAGGGTGACCCACGGTCAGCTCTCTGAGGGACAGTAACAGACATAAACCACGTGAACCAGTGCTCTGAAGCATATAGGGGGCTATTTGTAAACTTTTCAGCATGGGTACACGATGCAGCAGATGCACAATGCATTTAGACTTATACTGGTTAGAGTTCCTTTTTGTTTTGATATATTTTTTTAGATACATGTACAAATTGATGTTAATATTTAAAATATCCACTGCACACTGAAGTGATGAGCTTGGTCTAGTCTATTATGATAAAGTGCAGACGATCATGACAATTGCAGTGTACAGCCACCAGAGGGTGTCATTTTGGTGATCAACTGTTCAAACTGTTAAGTACGGTGGCAGAGAAGTGCAAAACAAATCACAATTCTGAAAACAAAATAACAAAATACAAACGCAAATGCAAGTCTAAAAAACAAAATAACAATTCAGAAAACACAACAACAATTCAGAAAACATTATAACAAGTCAGAAAACACAATGACAAATCAGACAAACCGGAAGAGGTAGGTATAGTTTGAGACCGCGCCATTGGTTTGGGATTACTCACCACTGACTGGACGAGATATCTGTCAATCAACATATACAGAGAAGAACCAGCCGAAGAACAGCAGAGTCCTGGTAGAAAGTTCAGAGATGGTATTAAAGTAGCTCAGTTTAAATGT